TTCGAACAAAACCACCAGACCAAGCGGAATCACAACACCGAAGATGTGGGAAGGCTCCCAGAAGTTACCGTGAGATGCCCCCTCGTCACAGCTGGGCAAGGCGTCCACTCGGAGGACAGGGGCTCTGCCTTGTCCCCAGGTGGCCCGATGACACCCTGTGCTCAGCAAGTGCTTGTGAGCCAGTGAATGAGGGGTTTGGGGGACAATCGTACCACCCGGGGAAGCCTCTGCGTGGAAGAGCTGGGGTCTGTGAAATTACTCACGTAGCACTGGGGCCTTCCACGTGAGGGCCTTGCAAATACTTGAGGCAGCTTCTTCTCAAGTCAAATGTCTCTATTTCATTCCATGATTTGGCACATATCTTTATTTCCAAGGCTTCCTACTGTCCCGTGTCTGGGCTGCATTTGGTCAGCCCTAAGACCTATGGCACCCAGGATGAAATAGAATTATTCCCCACTGTTGTCTACCCGGCCAGAGTGGACTCTGTGACTACATCTTTCCAAGCCCTTCCCAGCTCTTGAAAATTACATCAAATGGCAAGAGGATGCTGACAAGGCCACACAGGGAGGTACCACGCACCCCTCCCAGAGGCTTAATTCATCTGTGAAGGAACCTCTGTGAGGGGCTAGATGTGGAGAGATTCGTGACGTTTCCCACTCCCTCCCTCGGACCCGGACCGCAGGAGAAGATTCCTGGGAGCTGCCCTTTCTGAACAGAGGCTCAGTGAGCACTCGGGAACCTGGGAAGTTCGTCTCCCACTTTGCGTGGTGCATTGAACCACAGTGGCCCGGGTGTGAGTGTGATGCAGACATGGTAACTCAGTACCTGAAATGGAAAATGCAGTTTCATTGCCCCAGAGATTTATTTTTTTTAATCCTCACCTGAGGATATTTTTTCATTGATTTTTAGGGAGAGTGGAAGGGAGAGGGAAAGACAGAGAGAAACATTGATGTGAGAGAAACACATCGATTGGTTGCCTCTTGCATGAGCCCTGACCAAGGCCCAGGCTAGAGAGGATTCTGCAACTGAGGTACGTGCCCTTGAGCAGAATCAAACCTGGAACCCGTTGGTCTGTAGGCCAATGCTCTACCCACTGAGCAAAACCAGCTAGAGCAGATTTTTTTTTCAAATAAGTTGCTTCTACTTTTATTACAATATTGGATCATTAACTCATTCACCTTAATGTTGGGTAATGAGGCCCTCAAAGCAAGTGATACAAATGCTTTGCTTGCAATGCTATATTTAGAAACTCCAATTTTATGGAAAAATCTTTCTCACTATTAAAAGTATTTGCATTTCTTTGAGAAACTTTCTAGAACGCTTAGACTCCCATGCAATTAAGACCCTACTGTGATTCAGAACCAAAGGATTGGAGGACAGTGGTGAAGTGTTTCTCAAGTTATTTAAAATGTGTCGTTATAAAGTAGAATTTATTCTAGAAATGGCTGAAAATAGTCTGAAAAGAGATAGTTTTCAGATAACAGTCTGGGACACAGAACAATAATAGTTTCAAGAAAAAAATTTTTGCCTGGCCAGCATGGCTCAGTGGTTGAGCCCTCGACCTATGAACCAGGAGGTCATGGTTTGATTCCCATTTGGGGCACATGCCCAGGTTGCAGGCTCGATTCCCCAGTAGGGGGGTGTGCAGGAGGCAGCCGATAAATGATTCTCTCTCATCATTGATGTTTCTATCTCTCTCTCCCTCTCCCTTCCTCTCTGAAATCAATAAAATATATTTTTTAAAAAGAAAGAAAATAATTCTATAAAATGATATTTCTTTTATTAAAAATATATGATAAAAATTCTATCTTAAACTAAAAAGTAAACTTGAAGAATTAATAGTGAATGTAAACTAAGGGGAAAATAATGATCTATTGTTTTACCCATTAGCTTATAGAAAGTTTGAAAGGCAATAACATCCATAGCTGATGAGAATAAGTCATCGTCAGACTTGATCATTTGAGAACAAGTTGCTACAAATTAGAGATAATCACCTGGAAATGTGTATTAAATGTAAAATATTCATAGATCTGAACAACAATACTGCTTTTGTATCTAAGGTACATGCATCAAGCTGTCTGTTGCAGCATTATTCATCACAGTAAAAACTAGAGAGAACTTAAATGTCTATAATATGGTTAAACGATGAAAAATATTATTTGACTGTAAAAAGAAGCATAAAATAGATGTTGATGTTAGTACTGGAGCGGTGACCTTGGATTAAAAATAAAAAGTTACAAAGTAAGATAAAGACTATAGTATTTTTTTCTGCAAAACCAAATAACAACAAGTGTCACACACATATGTCATGGTGTGTTTGCAGGAGCATGAAGCCTTTGACACTGATTCCCGGCGCGAAGGCACCACATGACTAACAGCAGCTGTCCCTCCCTCCCCAGGAGCCGCTCCACGTGGACATGAAGAGAAGGGAAGAGAGCTTGCTGCTTGCACACAGCTCCCCACGCCCCCGGGTCACCGCCTGGACACGCGACATGGAAGCTCTGAAGCAGCCTCAGAGACTTGGAATGGAAAAGTGATGAGTTTTCATATGCGTCTTTTTCTGATTTTAAAAAGTTACCACATAATATTTTTGGATCTTAATACGAAACTCTAAAAAAAGTCGTGGTGGATCTGCTTAGGAGCCACTGTGTGTGAGGTGGGGGTGAGGGCAGGAAGGAATTGGTGTAATTACCAAGAAGAATAGGGTGTCGTTCCCTTCCCAGCGGTTTGCCATGGTCCCTCTCTGGCCCTTCTGGCTCCACTGCACCCGAGTCCGGCACAGCTCGCTGTGAGCACGGGCAGGGTCAGCTGCTCTGCCAGGGGTCCCCTGTCCGCATCCTCAGCCTGGTTCCAAGGGTGACCTTAGCGTTTGCTTCCAAGTCCACATGCGCCATTTCCCACCCAAAGGCCCTGCTGTGCAGGAGTGCAACACAGGCCTTCAGAGAAGTTCTTTTCCAGGAGCTGCCTGAACACTTCTCAAAACCAACAGCCACCAGGGAGAGTGCTGTTCTCGGAGGCAGTCGGGTTCCAGCCTCAGCACCCTGCACGCAGACAGAGCAGGAGGTGTGTGCCAGCTCCCATCCTGCCCAGTGTCCTGCTGGGTGGTCTGGCCGTCATCCCCATGAGTCTAAGCATTTAGCAAGCACGGACCAGGCCTCTTCTTCATTGTTTTCAGTGTCTAGCAGACTGCTTGGCATAATAAGTACTAATAAATGTTCATTGCATGACTGAAAACATAAATAATGGAGCATTTAATGACTACCTATTTAGTACAAGAACACAGTTTATCTACTTCTTGAGTAAAACAAGAACAAAAGTATTGCTCTGCATCACAGCTTGGAGACTAAACGTGAGCCTCAGAGAAGGTAACTGAAGTGCGAGTAATCTGTGTAGTGCGAGTCTCGTGGAGAGAGAACGCTGTTGCGAGGTTGGTGAGAGACCAGCTGTGAAATGACAGGTCTCTGAGAGAAGTGCCGCAAGCCCACGGCTGGGAGAGGCCCCGTCTCAGGAGCGCAGGGCTGAGGGTGCTCAGACTCAGTCACCAGGACAAAAGCAGAGCTGGGTGGGTGCACTTTATGGCTGTGCTCACTACATTTGGGTTTTCTCTTGTGCCTCCACTTTGATTTTGTTCCACTGTAATCATAAGACACATCCTCAGTGGACCTCAAAAGATTAAAAACCAAATACTACTTTAGAAGTAGTTATGTAAATAAGAAATCATCTGAATATATCATTTGTTACGTTAAAATACACAACATGTATTTCCCAACCCTGATGGTAACTTCCAGTTTCTCAAAAACTCTTTAACAGGGATGCTCAGCTCTGACGGGGCCTCGTCTGGTCACTGGCCCATAGGCATGGTGCTTGGACCAGATGCTTGCTTTCTCTTTGCTTTCCTTTCTTTTTCCAAACTCAAGGAGGTAGGCCGTAGTATCTCCAAGATCACTCCCTTCTCTAACATGTTAAGATTTTGTCATTTAATTCTATTACTTTCCAATTATAATTCTACTTCAAGCATAAAATAAAACCACCATGATCCCGCTATCTCAGGTCAGCACAGCTTGTTCATATAAACCAGCTTGAGAGAGATTCGTAGGACGGCCTCGCGGGCACAGCATAGAGTGGGCGCTATATCAACAACTCCACTGTGCTCGCTAATCACATCCATCTAACGGCTGCCAAGCTCTCACCTGAATGCTCACATGAACACTCAGATGTCCACGCGCCCATTCGCCGAGGGCATCAGCTTTCCTCCTCCACCGGAACGTGGAAACCTGTGCACGTCCGTGGTTTTACTGTAATTCTCAGGAATGAGATGCTTTCCGCACCCGGCGAATGTGGGGATGAGTGCGAACCCCCTGGCCTGCTGCTTCCCGGGTGGGCTGAGGACCGACCGCCACGGGCGAGGCTGTGGGATG